AAAATCCAGCTAGGCAGAGAAGGTGGGGGAAGGCATTTTCAGTATGGGCACATGATGGGGCAGAGGTCTGGACTTGAGCAAGCATTTGGCATCTTCAGGGACCCCCGGTGCTAGGAGTCTATTGGAGGCATCACCAGATGTCAGCTTCTGAAAGGACGTGTGCTTTCTCCCGCCCTCCCCTGTGCACCCACATTACCTGGGGTCCTTTTCCCCACTTCTTGGCTCCTGTTTTAAGAGGCTTCTTTTCAGATCAAGGTGGGTCTAATGTGGTGTCATCAGGCTGGTACCTCTGAGTGCCATTGAAGGAGAAATAGAAGGAAGGTAGACAGGTTGTCTCAGCACAGAAGAGGCCCAGGCTGACGTGGGCGCTGCTGCTTGGAGAAGAGGCAGCAATTGCATTCTGAGCTGCCAGAGGATGGGGGTACAGTGACTGAGTGTGAGGGCCAGAGTTCAGTTCCTGACTCCGGAACATCCTAGCTTTGTACCCTTAGGGAAGCTACTTGATCTCTCTGAATTCCAGTTTGCTCATTCAGATGATGTGGATATTGCTGGTGTGTGGAGATTTTGGGAGGAGCGTGTGCCCTGCACTGTGGTGATACTCATGCCTCCTCTGTCCTTAGCATATGAACTTCAAGCAGTGCCTGGCACAGAGGTGGAGCTTAAACACCAGAATACTTTTTGGAACTATCCCATCATGGAAGTAGCAGGCATGGAGGGCTATGAGCCCCATTAATGGTGGTGTTCTTTGCCAAACCTGAATAATTGTAAGAAAAGACACTGAACTGAGATTCACTGGGCACTGTGCCTGTCCTAAGTAGTCTATATGGTTTAAACCCACTAACTCTCACAGGAGCCCTAGAAGTAGCTACTGTTATTTCTCCCACTTTACTTGTAAAAGAAGGGGAAGCTGAGACCCCATGAAAGTGACATGGCCAAAAGCAAGCTAGGAAGGCGGGGAGCTGGGGTTTGAAGCCGGGCCTGTAGTTTCAGTTGTGTTTCACCACAGCTTCTGCAGCTGCTCACAGATGCACCAGCCCCTCCAGAAGAGCACAGTAGAAAGGGGCTCCAGCGTCTTGTGGGAGGGTAGAGTCTCAGAATACACAAAGAGTGGCGACCAGGTGGAACCAGGTGGGCCTGCCCAGGGCCCTGTGTGGAGGAGGTCACATCGAGCAGGTAGAGAACTGGCATGGCCCAAGAGGACAGGTGGGAAGGAAGGACGCCAGCCACCTTCCTTACTAATGAGCCAAGATGTCCTGAGAGCCCTTCTGAAGAAGCGGGAAGAAAGATGCACCCCACTTGACGACATGGCTTTGTGTCAGACTCTCCTTTTCCTTCTGCTTTCTCACCTGTAAGACGGCTTTGAAGTTCTTGTCCCGTTTGGAGACAGATCTTTGTTCTTTCTCTGACTGAGTGACTTACCTTCTAAAGGATAAATCACATATGTGAGTATCCACACATTCCCCTGAGCAACCAAGGGCCAAATGTTGTGTGTTGAAGTGGGTTTCCAGATGGAGAATTCAGTAACCTGTTATCGTGAAGTACCAATGCGACCAGCGCTTTGTCCCCAAAGCTTGGCTGAAGTGTTTAGACTTTTATCCTGTAATTACAGTGGCTAGACCTGGATATGATGCACTGCCTTCTGCTGCAGGTGATGCTTGTCGACCCAGTCCGTCTCCCACTTTGAGTTTTGGATAATACTTCCCTCCAATTCTCCATTTCCCTTTCGGTCACTAAATTCCTGTAAGAATCTCACCCAACGCCACAGCTTCTTTTTTGGGGGATGGGGATGGAGTCTTGCTCTGCTGCACAGGCTGGAGTGCAATGGCTTGACCTTATCTCACTGTAGCCTCCATCTCCTGGGTTCAAGCAATTCTCCTGCCTTGGCTTATAGGTATGCGCCACAATGCCCAGCTAATTCTTTGTATTTTTAGTAGAGACGAGGTTTCACGATGTTGCCCAGGCTGGTCTTGAACTCCTGGCCTCAGGTGATCCACCCACCTTGGCCTCCCAGGGTGCTGAGATTACAGGTGTGAGCCACTGCATCCAGCCCACAGCTTCTCAAAACCATCTGAACATAGGCATTCATTCTTCAGACTGTCATTAAAGTTGACTTTCCAGGAACCAGCCCTCTTAACAGTTCAGTCATCCTTTTCCCAACCATTTGTCTTTTCCCAGATCATTCTAAAATAAGGTGATAATATTACACCATCTAAGGTGGTAGACTGGGTGATGCTGAAGGGCAGCTAATATTTATTGAGCATCTGTGATATGCCAAGTCTTCCACGGACAGCTGAATGACCTATTACATATGCTCACCTCCTTCCATGATTTCACTGGTTGTTGGGAGGATTGAGTGAGCTAACACGTGGAGTGTCTGGCACATGTGAGGTGTTCTGTGAATGACTACATAAATAAATGAATGCGATGTGGTTTCTAAACACTTTTCAAGGACGCTGTCCCTTGGATCTGTCTCTGTGTTAGTATCCTCCTTTAAGGAAACACGAAGACATAAACGCTGTCTGTCAGACGTGCTCCAGAGGGAGCCTGGCCAGTTCCTCAGGACTGTGCTGCGGTCAAGCACACCTCTGGCCGGGAGGACGGCTGCTTATTTTGAAGCTCAGTTTGTCCTTGTGTTCCGGAGTTAGCACACCACGTATCTTTTTTCTTTCATGGGGATTTTGGTCTTCCACGGAGCTCCTGTGAGGTTGATTCTGGGTCCGCTGACCAGGACTTTGTATTTTAATTTCACCATGAAATATCTTCACGTGGGAGGTGAATGTGGCTTTGGAATCATTTGGATCTAGGATTCTAGATCGATTCTGTAGCTCGTGACCATAGGTAAGTTACTTCATCTTTCTAAAACTGTCTCCTTATTCAGACTGCAGAACTTTAGCATAGAGAACTGGTTCCCAGAAAGGGGATGGCGGGAAAGCAGCAGGTTGCTCCTGCCTCCTAGGCTGCAGGGGCACCAGGAAGAGGGTCTTCGCAGAGACCGGAAGCTGGGCCCTTCCTGGTGGGAGGACGGCCCCGTGCTCATGGCCTCCTAACCCTTGTGTTGGTCAGGAGGGTTTCTTGCCTTACCATGTGGGGACAGCCAAACACCTAGGACATGACACAGGACAGGTGCATCCGACAGCAGTTCACTGGTCACAGACACTCACAGCTGGGGAAGGAGGAGACTGTGCCATGTACCTCCATGCGGGGCTGTACTCAGGAACAGAGAGAGCAGCTGCGCAGGGGCTGGGGGAGGCGGGCTTTGGAGTATGGAGAGGCAGGCTGCCCCAGGCTTCCCGGGGAGGATGTGACTGGCTTATTTCAATCTCTCCCAGGCTGTGGGGCACTGATACCCGCCACTCAGGACACAGTGCGGCATCTGCTTCCCGTGCGCACCTAGGGGGCCTGCTCAGCTGAGGGACCCTGTATCTGCAGGAACAGAGTCGGGAGGGGACTTAAAGTGAGGCTGTTTGGGGCCCTCTGGTTTTGCTGGATATCAAGGCAGCATGTCATACTCTGCCTGGGTTGTAGGAGCTGGAGCTGTGCAGGGACGCAGCTACTCCAGGGGACCAGCGGTGGCCTCCCTCTGTCCCCTTCCTGTCTCCCTTCCTCCAGTGTTCCCTGAAGTCCTTACAGTGCCCTGGTCTTCTTGGTGCTTTTACAGATAGTACTTTGTTGAATTTGTAAAATAACCCTGTGGTGCAGTAATTGTTACCCTGTTTTACACATGAAGAAACCTTGACTCCAAGGGATTGTTATTCTCCATGACACTCGAGTTAGTCAGTGTCGAAGAGGCACCAAAGTCACGTGACTTTAACATTCAAGACTTTTTATTAAAGACTGGTGTATTCACAAGAAAGCAAGGGAAACACCTCTCCTGAAGGCCCTTCCCAAGGTGCCATCCTTAATTCTGTGTTTTTATTTTATTTTATTTTATGTATTTATTTTTTGAGACAGAGTCTTGCTCCATCGCCCAGGCTGGAGTGCAGTGGCACGATCTTGGCTCACTGCAACCTCCACCACCTGCCAGGTTCAAGCAATTCTCCTGCCTTATCCTCCCAGTACCTGGGACTATAGGCGCACGCTACCACGCCCTGCTAATTTTTTTTTTGTATTTTTAGTAGAGACGGGTTTCACCATGCTGGCCAGGCTGGTCTTGAACTCCTGACCTTGTGATCTGCCCACTTCAGCCTCCCAAAGTGCTGCGATTACAGGCATGAGCCACCGCACCCGGCTATTTAATTTATTTTTTTTGTTTTTTGAGGTGGAGTCTTGCTCTGTCGCCCAGGCTGGTGTGCAGTGGCGAGATCTTGGCTCATTGCAACTTCCGCCTCCTGGGTTCAAGCAATTTTACCTCAGCCTTCTGAGTAGCTGGGATTACAGGCATATGCTGCCACACCGGCTAATTTTTGTATTTTTTGTAGAAGATGGGGTTTTGCCATGTTGTCCAGGCTGGTCTCAAACTCCTGAACTCAAGTGATTCATCCTCCCTCGGCCTCCCAAAGTGTTGGGATTGCAAGTGTGAGCCACTGCATCTGGCTTGGGTTCTGATTTTGTATTCTCTTTTTCTGAAGTGGTGTCTCATATTGAATATATACTTTCCCTACTACAGTTGGATCTGTTTCTCTTTAAGGTGATATAATACAGAAAATATGCATTGTGGAGAAATTTAGTTTAACTCTGATTTAGTTTATAAGAGCAAAACAGCATTTATTTGGTCAGTGAGAAGGAGTTGCTCACTAAGGAGTCAGGATGGCTTGGCCTGGGCTCAGGGCCTCTAGAGATGGGTGGTTCTTCCTGCGTGTGCCTCGTTCATAAACGGGGTGATTGCCTTGCAACACTCCTTGGTTCTGGAATGTTCTTGTCACTTTGATCTTACACATTTTAACAGCTCTTCTTTCCTTTTCCTTTGCTTTTGAGAATGCATCAGAATTTTCTAGGGGATTGGTAAGTCCCATACTGCCTCAGTTACAGCATCCTCATCACTGTCATTGCTATTATTGTAGAAAAATTGTACGGCGACTTCTTGAGCTGGAAGCTGGAGGAAACCCTTGCCCAGTTCCCTTTGCTGCCTGGGAAGGTGGCCACATTCACAATCAACATCAAAGTGAAGCTGGATTTCTCCTGCCAGGAGAATCTCCTACAGGATCTCAGTGATGGTAAGCTCTTTCCTAATTTTAATTAGCACATTAGGCCCCTAGATACAGTGTAGCAATCACCGGCCCCTGATGCCTGCTGTTTCCTGTTTGTAACTTGCTTGTCATTCATTAACTCAAGCTGCCTGAGACACCTCCTGGGCACTTTGTTAACAGAGTGAGTTACTGTATGTGTCTGAAAGTAATAACAGTACTTTTTAGCTAAACGATTTAATTCTCACTCTTTATTATTTTGTACTCATTTGCCAGGAGGTCATTCTAAATTAGTGGAATGTAGGAATTATTGCATTTTTTCAAGTGTAACTGCTGTGATTCTTTAGATATCTAATTAGCTGTGGTGATAAAGTTTTCCTTTCAAGTCTGGTGATTTCTATAAGGAGGTGGAGTGTGGAAAAAATGGAAATTTATATTTGTTGTAACATTAGGATTGATTAGAGATAAGATTTCATAGATTGGCTGGGTGTGGTGGCTCACGCCTGTAATCCCAGCATTTTGGGAGGCCAAGGCAGGTGGATCCCCTGAGGCCAGGCATTTGAGACCAGCCTGGACAACATGGCGAAACCCTGTCTCTACTAAAAATACAAAAATTAGTTGGGTATGGTGGCGCAAGCCTGTAATCCCAGCTACTGGGGAGGCTGAGGCAGGAGGATTGCTTAAACCTGGAAGGCGGAAGTTGTAGTGAGCTGAGATTGAACTACTGCATTCCAGCCTGGGCGACAGAGTGAGACTCCATCTCAAAAGAAAAAAGAAAGATTTCATAGATGAATTATGTCAAATTATGAAGCATTCATTGGGAGGCAGTATGCCGTCTATCAGTCAGATCAAGCTCCCCTAACAAGATACCACAGACAGAACAGCTTAAACAGCCAATATTTATTTCCTCATAGCTCTGAAGACTGGGAGTCTGAGATCAGGGTGCCAGCCATGGTGATTTTCTGGTGAGGGAGGGCCGTCTTCCCGGCTCGCAGATGGCCACCTTCTTGCTGCATCCCCACGTGGAGGACAGAGGGAGTTCTGGTGTCCACCCCTTCTTACAAGGGTACTCATCTCCTAAAGGGGCTCCACCCTCATTGCTCCATCTAAACCTAATTATCTCCCCAAGGCTCCGCCTCCTAAAGCTGTCCCATTGGGGTTAGGCCTTCAGCAGATGCAGTTGGGGAAGTAGGGAGGCAGTTCAGTCCCTAACAGATGCCCTCTATGGAGTTTGCTCTCTGCAGCCCCTGCAAATAGTCAGCATGAGCTTCTTGTACAGTGCTGGTACTTGGTAAACTATTCTTTTTATATTATTAACAAAGGTAGAAAAACAGATTTAGGGCTGGACACATTAGAAAATGAAAAAGTCAAGAGGATTGAAAATTATACCAAGACTTTAAAATGTCTGATGAAATGGCTTGTTTTTGTTTGTTTGTAAATGGCTTTATAGAACGGAACTGCATTTTTCTTTTTAATCAGTGGATAGAGGGTTACCTAGGTTCTGACTTCTTTTTTCCCAAGAAGGGGGTTTGGCAGAACAAGTGGTGCCTAGCACCTGTCCTCAGAACACTTGGGACTGGATGCTACGCCAGGGGCATGTCTAGCCATGTGGCCTCCAGGCAAGAGTGAGGGAACCGTGACCGTGGTTTCTACCACCGCCTGCTGGTGTCGTCTCAGTCCGGAGCAACACTGCGGAAGGCTTCCAAGTGGAAAGCCTGGCTTTTTGTGTTTTGGTTGTTTGAATTTATGTGTTCAACGCGGACCTACTTTGTCCTGTTGTTACTGTGCCTCTGCCTTTTGTTGCAGAGGGGACCGGGGCGTTCTCTCTGCCCTTCTAAGGTCAGAGAGAAAAATTCAGCCAAATGGCAATTTGGGACTTGCAGTCTGGGAATACCTTCTTCTATCTTTTGAAGTAAAACCAAACCAGACCTCGAATTATGGTTATCAAGTGGTTTGTAAATGTGATGCTGGCCTGGTTCCTGGTCATGGCACATGGCTGTTACTCATGAGATACCCCCTTTATTAATAACAGTTAATAGAAGCTCTGGCCAGTTGTTTACGTAGTATGTGGCCGAAAGAGACAGCGAATCTCTAAGTTAAGTCTTACAGAGGAAACTAGATTAAGTTTTATGGAGGAAAATGTAGGCTTGAAGAACCTTCCAGAGCTTGGTCCATGGTTGGGTGCCTTGCGACATGCAATTCAGTCTGAGGAAGCATGAGGCCATCGCTGTGGCCTTCTGTGGCGCAGCTGTAAACTCAGAGCCAGAGGCTCATTTGTGGCCTCTGGGAACTGGGAGACGACTCCCTGCAGCTCACAGTGTAACACTCTCAGAGACATCTCGTGGGGGACCACATTCTCAGGCGTGGACTTGCCTTAATTATAGTTACTGAAGTTAGACGCCAGTGAAAAAATTCCCAGCAACCCGTGGAGCTGCTGCGTAGACTGGGATCCTGCATGCAGTGTGGGACACAGAGAAGATAATGAATGTTTATTGAGCATTGTCAGATGTTGTGTATAAAGACTGGGCCAGCCACTTTTATTTGCATAGTTTCTATTTAATCTTCACAAAAACTCTATAAAGTAAATGTTATAATTCCCATTTTATAAAAGCAGGTGGGAAGAATGTTCTTGATTAAAGGAGATTGAAGCAATATAACAATAAAATGCTGTGCATGATCCTCAACTGTATCCTGGATTTTAAAAAAGAAGGCTTTTTTGGGACAATTGAGGAAATCGAATGTGTACTAGAAGATAATATTATGTATCAATGGCAAATATATTGAATATGATAATGAAATTGAAATTGTAGCAGAACATTCTTGTTCTTAGGAAATAAATGCAGAAGCATTTAAGAGGGAAAGATCATTTGACTGCACTTACTTTAATAAGGTGAAGGAAAAACAATGTGAATGTGAATCCAGAGAACTAAAGTAAAAGTGTCAAATTATTAAAAATTAGTGGCTTTATACACAATATCAAATATATGGAATCAACCTAAGTGGCCATCAATAGTGGATTCGATAAAGAAAATGTGGTACATATACACCCTGGAATACTATGCAGTCATAAAACAGAATGAAATCATGGCCTCTGCAGCAACATGGATGCATCTGGAAGCCATTATCCTAAACAAATTAACACAGGAATAGAAAAGCAAACACTGCATATTCTCACTTAAAAGTGGGAGCTAAGCACTGAGTCTTCATGTTCATAAAGACAGCAACAAGAGACATGGGGGACTACGAGAGAAGGCAGGGAGTGAGGGGAGGGGTGAAAAGCCAGTTGTTGGGTACTACGCTCGCTGTACCAAACCTCACCATCACACAGTATTCTCGTATAACAAACTGGTACCCCCTAAATCCAAAAGAAAAGTTGGAATTATAAAAAAATTAGTGGCTTTAGATAAAGAGATATGGATCTTCATGTCTCTTCTTGTAACTTTTCTGTAGGATCGATGTTTATCAAAATAAAAAATAACAAGAAAAAGATTTTGTAGAGCACTCTTTTGATATATTATTTTGATTTCTAAGTGAATTTTAGAAATTGTTTCTAAATGAAACATCAGAAAGCAAGTTATTTCCCTTATCTTCAAATTCTTGGGAGATACATATCTTCTTTATATAACTAGCCTAGGGTAAGGGAAGTCACCCACAAAATAGTATATTCTTTTCCTGTGATCCTGATAATACTTGAAATCTCTTATTCCTTGGATTTTTATGTTTAAAACTGGAAGTCCTAGAAGACAGTGGCAAACTGTTACAGGTTTTGAATATATGAACTATTCAGTCAAGTAGACTGAACAACTAGAATAGAAAAACCAAATACCTATAGGCAAAAATATACAGCAAAACCAGATACCTGAGTATCCCCACAGACCCCAAAATACAAGTAGATGTGGACAAACCACGGATAATGACATGGTTTCACCATCTGTACAAGAGGAAGCTGGAAACACACATACACAGGAATCCCCAAACAGCCTTCAGGTGCCCACTGGACAGGGCAGTGGGCCAAGATGAGAACAGCAGCTGAAATGTGAAGGAATTTGCATATTCCAATAGCAGACAAGTGCAAATAATCCCTCTAGAACAAAGCCTCACCCACAGAGAAACTGCTAGGAACAGAGGTGAGATAGCAGAACCAAGGAAAGAAAAGGTCTGGCTGAAACTCGGGGAGGATAACACAGTTAAGTGGTCTAGAAAGTAATTTCTTATATTTTTGAGTACCACCCAAAAACACAGAATACAGTATGTAGATTTACCAGAGCTGGAAGAGCTATCCTGAACGATCTCTCCTAAAAGTTCATAAAAACTAGTTTCGTGTAAAGTTGGTCAACAGAATAGAATCACAGCCAAACTCTATGTAAAGTGATTCTAGTAAAAATGTAAGCAGCAAGACAATATACCTGCAAACCATGAAAGTCTGCCAGAAGAACATGCTCACAAGCTGAGATAAATCACAAAAATCCAGAATGAGCTAAAAGACATGAAGTACAAAAGAATAACCTAAATCTGAATGAGAAAAACTCGGAAATGAGATGGATATAACTCAGGAAAGAGTTTGAAAGATAAGAATTTTTTTTTTTTAGCAATGTAGCTTCTAGTGAGTTAAGTGTATCTGTCAGATACATAAAGGGAAACAGAAGGTGAAAAGAGAGGAGAAAAAAGAATTAAGAAAAATGATTAAAGAGAAAGTGACACATTTAGAAAGTAGGCAAAGAAGATCTAACATGCATGCATGCATGCATACATTCATACATACATTCATTCATATATTCATTCATACATACATACATTCATTCATACATTCATATATACATTCATTCCTACATACATTCATTCATACATACATTCATTCATACATACTTTCATATATACATACATATACACATTCATTCATACATACATTCATTTGTACATACATTCATACATCATTCATACATTCATATATACATACATACATTCATACATACCTACATTCATACATTCATTCATACATTCATATATACATACATGTATACATTCATACC